TGTCGCCTCTTTAAGGGCTTGAGCATATTTCGATGTTTGTCGTGAAGTTCTTTTATCTTCGCTACAATCCGCTTGTGTGTTATAATTGGAATCGATGCTTTGTGTCACAATGCTTCGACTTTCGATGAAACACAACTTGAAACTTCAGCAACTGAAGGGATCTCTGCAGATATATATGTCATTTCGTCTTTAAGGAACAAGTAATATTTCATCACATCAGCATATGTGGAAAGAACGGTCTCTGGTAAATATGAAGGATTTCCAAAAATAGGGCAATTGGTACGCAGCCGTGTCTTGTGCTTCTTACACCCACTAACACCAGCCATTCTTGTTATTTTTGTTTTTGGACGTCACTCACAGATGCGAGGTTGTTTGAATTTTCTAATCTAAAATAATTTTCTAATCTAAAATAATAATACAAAAATAAAATAATTAATTTCTAACATAATAATTCAAACAAAATAATGTAAATACTGAAATTTGTAGTTATAGGAAATTAACTTTTTCTCCGAAAACCACAAAATGCACGAAAAACGCCAATTTTCGAGTGCTTTGGGGCAGACCTAAGAATTAACCTAGGGCGAAATGCTTTTACCACAGTTTACCTTGTACTAAATGGCAGTTTTTGCATACCCAGCCAACTTGAATTTGCCATGATAGGAAATTATTATTTTTTAAGCTAAAAATGCCGAAATTAACGAAATATTCAAATTTTCAAGTGCTTTGGGGCAGGACTAAATATTATTCTAGAGCAATATGCTTTTACCACAGTTCATTTTGTACCCAAATGCAACTTTTCCATACCAAGCTCAAATGAATTTCCAAAAAAAGGTTTTTTCACTCCACCCTAATGAACACTTTAAAATTAACTCCAATATTGAACCACGACAAGAACTGAAAATATTAAAAAAATGGAAGAGCTGAATTGTATTACTTTGTCTAGAGAAATATTTATTTAAGTTTCATTAATCAGAAGTTTCAAATCTTTACCATTATTTTGAAAATGATGAAAGTATTTTTAAGGAGTTTAGTCATCTTTGTGAGACAATATGCTCTTAATGGGTGCATATACGTATTGGAGCCAGTTGTATATCTTTTTGGTGATATCATAAAAAAGCCAGTAATAACAACCTATGCATAAAAAGCTATCGATATAAAAAAGTCTAAATAAGTTTTTAAAGTTCTTAAGTTTTCTTGCTAATGTTTTTTATTTTCTAAATTAAATGCTTTTTTGTAAGACTAATATAAGCAAAGCAAACATACAAGTAGCACCTTTATTTTCAAAAACGCTGCAAAGGAAATCATTACTATATAACATTAAGAAATAAAAACTTGTATTCCTAAATATAATTGAACTGATAGCATATAAAAGATTATAATTTTATGTAACATAATATTGTTGTTACTTCTAATAAAAGATATAAAATATTATCTTTATATATATAAAATTATCCAGTAAAGTGTGATGTATATATAAAAGTGTTAATACTCATCACATTTAAGTATCACATTCAAGTTGCGTAAATATTCCCCTTTTAAGTATGCTAACATTCTTTGTTAAAATGTGGGAATATTCCTACTTTAGTTGCGTTAATATTCTTATTTAGATATTTGAATAATTCTAAATTAAATTATATAATATTCCTACATTAATTAAGCTAATATTCCTACTTATATTGTGCTGATATTCCAATTAAAAATGTGCTAAAGTACCCAGGTGTGTGCTATACTCCCTGTAAAGTTTCCTTATTTTCAAGTAAGTTTTTCAAGTAAGTTTGGTTGATATATTTAAAGAAGTACTAATATTCCCAATAAAAGTGTGCCAATGCTCCAAAAATAATGTGTGCTAAAATATTTAGTTTAAGTGTTCCTTGTTCCTACTCAAACTCGATATATGTAACAAACTTGTATTTAAAAAATTTTACATTTCTCATCCACCCCAGCCAACACAGACACGTATTTTTATAAGGTAAAAGGTTAACACCTTTAGAGTTTAAAGTCAAATAACTATAAAACATGTAATTGTATTTATCTTTGAGACGACGAATAGTAGCTGTCTCAAGCTGTATAAAAGATGACTTCTAATAGATGTCTTATATTTATCTGAACTTAGACATCTAAAAGTGTAAACATTTTAGATGCGAAAAAAAAACTTCTAAAAGATAGCTACAACAAATATTTATTATTAAATTGCACGAGTCATGTTCTTACTATATCATGAATACTCACACATTTTTAACAAATATTATATCCTTCACTTAAAAATAAATGTTAATAGTAACTTTAAAAAAGGTTTAAATGTATTTCGCATTTATTTATTTTTTTTAGAATGCTGCTAAAGAATCAGCTGATAAACATTAAAATGGTAATTTCTTTATAAAGAAAATATAAGTACAGAACTATAAAACTATTTATAAAAAATAAGAGATTAAATCCAAATTATAATAGAAAATAATAAATACAATATGACATATAAAATGAAAAAAGAACTTATCTCGTAGTATATATAATATAATATAAAATGAAAAAATAACTTATCTCGTAGTTGCTCTTTGAATCAAAAGTAATTTTTGACATTTAGACATTTTACTGAAATTTAAACAATGTTTTTTAAAAATTACTATATTTTAAAAGTCTTATAATTAAAATACTCAAGATATTTTTATTGGCTAGCATGTATGATTAGTACATTTTAATTAACTTTTATAGCAATAAAGCAAATAATTTAGCAGTACAATAATGACATATTTAAGCTGCCTAAAATAAGTGCCTCTGAATTTTATTATATTATTCAAAGCAAATTCACTCAATTTATTTGCAAATTTTTGTTTAGCATGATAAATATTCTTTTTCAAATAATTAATGATTATTCTGTCCTGCCATTTTTTTTTATAGCAGTTCCATTCCCATGGTTTTGCATTAAGGTGGTTTACACGGTTTTCCGTATTACCAATTTCTAATGCAACTTATGAATATTTGAAAGCAAACTTTACAACTAGATGTAATTCCAAAGTAAACCTATTTTAAACAACAAGACTGAGTATTTTCATCATTTCACTTTCACTAGAAAAAAATACTAGCCATGGTTTTTGAATTTCTGTCACCAAATCCTACAATAAATTTGGAAATGTACACCTCGAAATTCTGAGTTTACGTTAACTCTGCTTAAAAATAATTAATTACCTCAAAATTTTGAATTTCTGTTAACTTATAATACAACAATAAAGCAAATTTTAAAACCGTCGTTTTATAAGAGGTCTGGACTCTAATAGGAGGGGTAAAATGATACTTCCGTCATTCATAATGTTAAAATATTCACTTGAGAAAACGAAGTATAAACATCTAGCTAACACTGCTAAAACAAATATTTACTAATAATTATAGAATAAGATATTCAAAGAATATTTCAAAGCTGAAAGTGTAAGATTTAAAAAACTGAAGTTAACCTTTAGACTCCGCTTAATTTTTCATGTTTGACCATTCAGCGCGCAATGTTTTTTAGCAAAAGTTGTAGTTTTCTTAAAAACTATATATATTCTGTTATCCTTATGTCTAATTCTTGAAGTAAAATTTTATAAAAGGTAAATGAGTATACTTACATAATTCATAAAGGATAACACCACACTGGACATAGCTTTTATACATCATTCATCTAGAAAACAAAAAAAATGTTAGAAAAAACTCCTTAATGAACTTTTTATCAATATATAGACATTTATGAAAAAAAAAACAGGTGGAAATATATATTTATGTAATAAAAATAATATTTTTAGTATCCCATAAGTATATTGAAACAAAATAATAACAATAAAATTAAGTACAACTTTAATTTTTTCTAAATTTTAAAATTATTACATTAATTGTTTTTGCTAAAATTTGAAAAAATTTTCAACAAACAAACAAAATAACTTTATTGAATAGAAATATATGAAAAGACATATCAATAGATTTTAAACCATGATCATTTCAAGATTGTTCACTGTCGCATGACGAACTATCTCTTGATGATGTAATATCACGTTGTGTGTGATATATTTCAAAACACGGTGTGACACATAGTGCAACAGCACACATGCGACATTCATAGCTTGTCTCCTTGCGTTTGCCAATCTTCAAGCAACAGACACATTTACTACGCTTCCGACCAAGGGATTGATTTTTTTGAGTGATGAAATGTCTTTCAATAAGTCTTAAAGGGTTGTTGAAATAATTTACTGGTTCTCCGCGTCCAGTTTGAATTGGTGCTTGTTTGTTTAGATGATACATAAGTATCGTTTTTACAAGTGATTGTCTAAACTTGAGTTGACTGGTGCTGCTTTTATTTAATTTTTTCCAAATGACAAATGAATTATAAATGCAAAAATCAATAAGCAGCTCCCCAATCTTTCTAAACCATTTTAAACCTCTCCGCTGTATGGAATAGGGGATACTAACACGGCTCAAGGTATCTACACCACCCATTGTTTTATTGTATTCTAATACAACATCTGGTTTTATAATGGGACTTTTCAAAGAGAAGTGAACTTTTCCAGTTTCAACTAACTGACCAGTATGTTTTGTTGACATCATTGAAACAATTTTTGTTGATTTGGTTTTGTAGGGATCATTCCATCTTATTATCATAATTTTTTCGGCACAAAACATTTTCAAAACTGGTTGACCTATGCCTTTAGAAGGCTTCCAATTCCAGAAGTCCCTAGGAAGTCCTGTTTTTCGACGCAGTGTGCCAAAACAATCCGTTTGGTTATAAAAAAAGGCCATCAAAAGTTCAGGTGAAGTGTATATTTATCTATCGTTACACAGTAACCTTGTTTGTACAGTCCATCTATTAATGATAATACTACTTTTGAGTAACTTGCATACTCATCAAATGCTTTTCGAAATGTAATATTACTGGGTGCAGGATAGTCTGTATCTGAACCAGTATATATTATAAAGCGATACAAATAACCAGTCTTACTTTCACAACACATGTATAATTTGATTCCGTAGCATTCACGCTAAGTTGGGATAAAAACGCGGAACTTCAAACGACCTTTCCAAAGGGAAAGATACTCATCTACTGAGACATTTTGCTCAGGAGTATAATTTTCAGAAAAAATTTTTGATAAACTATCTATCAAAGACCTAAGCTTACACAAACTATCATCATGATTTTCATTTCCAGGATCTGTAAAATGCATCATTTTACGAATGGACTCAAATCGATCAGGACGCATGAGTCTGGAAAATATAGGTGCAGAAAATATATGGTCTTTAGTCCAAAACATATGATAATTAGGCTTGTTTACTATTCCCATTAGAGATACTATTGCAATGTATAACCAAAGTTCATCAAATGTCAAATCAACCCATAAGTTGAAGCAACTTCTTTTTTTTGTTTCCATTCTTTGCATTATTTCTGGAGTTAATTTGCAAGCTGGACATACCTGTTTGTGTATTGGACAATATTGTTGATAATATCATCTGTTAAAAATGTTTTCAGTACTTCAGAACTAAGTGGACAATCATGCTTCTCAGGAACTTTATTCACTTTATTGATTGCAGTAAATGGAAATTCTCTTTGTTGTCTAGGAATGTCATCCCATATAAAAATATTGCTATTACCATTATCATTATTAGATTGATTGGTCTTACAAAGACGATTTTGCAGTGGTTGCAATTCAGCTATATTACCACTAGTTACTACAATATTGCTGGTGTTGTTATTTTCAACATGAGAAAGATCTAAAGAAACTGCTCCATTTATTCTTGGTTGAATAAATTCGATATCCGAAGCATCCTCTTCTTCCGACGTTTCAGATTCTGATGTAAGTTCTAATGAATCTAAGGTTGTTAAATGCATACTTAAATTGCTTAAGGATTATATATTTATTACATGTATGGCATTAAAATATTTTACTTTGCAATTTTGATACATACTAAAATATTTATGAAACAAGGTCGAGGAGAAATTAAGTAAGTTTTTTGAAAATCAAATCATAAACTTATTTTATCAATGAAACTCATTTTTTTAACAATCCAAGTCTAAACAAATAGACTAAAATATTATTACCATCAGTGGAAATTAAAGAATCATCTTCGCAACCATCAATTTCACTGTCATTAAGTTCATCTATAAACTTCTGAATCTCAGATTCAGTTAATCGGCGACTCCTAGATGTCATAATTATTATACTTTTTTAAGTAAAAATATTGCATAGAACTCTTGATAAAAAAACTTAATGTTTATATTTTTCGGACCGTTGTGGACTATTTATTCATAACTTGAAGCCAGAAAAGGATTACAGTTAGTAGTTTTTGTGTGTTTTAGTATAATATCAAGGTATATTTAAAAATGCCAAAAGGCGTACTTCGGAACTAGCGAGAACGCCAAAAGGCGCACTTCGGAACCTAAGGGTTAAGGGGATTTTAGTTAAATGATAAAAAAGAAGAACCAATTACTCGTTTATTTGCTGAATGGAAAATAATGTTTTACAAATAAAAATAGCAGTAAAAGTTGAGGAAGATTTAAGAAAAGAATGTAAATTGAAACTAAAATTAGACGATATGCAGATACCTGATCAGTTTAAAATTCTTGATCGCTGGATGGACGAACAAGTTGGTATGCCATTCTTACCAATGTTGTTATATCCAGATATATTTATTTGTAAAATGTTTAACCCATCAAAGCTCGAAAGTAACGACTTGAGTGACTATAAAAACTCAAAAGCATACAGTTACTATAAATCTTCCTGGCTTTAGCATCTTAAGTATTTTAGTTTAACAGGTAGTAATTACTTTATATTTAAATTAGAATGTCGGATATCACAATCTATTAATGATACATTTCATAAACTGTGCTTGAATTTAGAAAAAAGTGCGAAAATAAAAGCCTGTCATTGTACATGCATGGCAGGCATGGGTCAAACCTGTAATCGTGTTGCTACAGCAATGTATAGAGTGGAGGTTGCTGTAAGAAATGGTCTAACAAACCCTGCATGTACAAACACTTCAAATGAATGGCTGCCATCTCGAAAAGAAGTAGCACCTTCTATAATCAAAGACCTTGACTTTAGTCGTGAAGATTTTAGCGAAAGAGGGATAAAAAAGAAAATTGGAAGGTACACAAAAAATATATATATATATATATATATATATAATCCTTTATCTATTAATACTATACAATTGTTAAAAATCAATGATATTGCTTCTGCTCTTGAGAAAATTGTTTCAACAAGTATTTTGTTAACTGCTGTTTCAAAGCCCAAAATAGATTTTAATCATGAAGTGATAAAAGTTGATAAGTCACCTATTGGTTTACTACGCATTAACAATGTATTTTCTACCTCTTCATCTTGCACTGAATTTTTTAAGTTTAAAAGTAAACATGTATGTTGATAATATAAATCAAATTGAAGTATTAACACGGAAACTAAATGAAAACGTACATTGGTATCACTATCGAAAAGGTTTTATAACTGCCCTTAAGCACACCATATATAGAGAAAATTAACATAGAGAAATATAGAGAAAATTAACAAAGCTGATGATGGTTACCACAACTTTTGGTCACTCAACCAAAAAATATTAGGACTGATTTTAACTAACCCCGAATTTCAGCCTTGAAATATGGTCCTACAAAGGAAGTAGAAACAGTAAATGCGTTTTATGTAAAAATAAAATGACAACACAAAATTTTTACTTTGAATGAATACGGACTTTACCAGGATTATGAACATCCTTATATTGGACTAAGTCCAGATCGGGTAATGTCATGTGATTGCTGTCCTAAAGCTTGTATCCAGGTGAAATGCCCTTACAAAATTAGTTTTACTACACCAATAGAATTAAATTTGCCATAATTAATAAAAGATGTTGATGTAAAATTTAAAACCGACCATAGTTATAACATCCAATGCATGTTACAAATTGGTGTTACCAAGTGCTGCGTTACATAATTTTTCGAATGGACTCCACATGACATAATTATTGATAAAATAAACGTTGTTTATTTTATCTATAATTATGTTTCTTTGTGGAATTTATGTTACTTTGTGGAATTATGTTTGATTTTCGGAATTTATTAAGGAAAAAACTTTTTATTTGTTTAAGGGATTACTATTTAAAATTAATTTTAGCATTTATTCTAAATTTTATCAAAAACATCATACAATTGTGTTTTAAACATAGTATATGTCATTTTTCAAATATATACATAATCTGTATTTTTAAAATCTGAGTAATATTGTCTCACTTTTGCCTTTCTCTTAATTATATTGTGTAAATAAAATATAAAGTACTGTGATATCTGTTAATGAAACTTTTATTGCATAACTTTATGATAAAATTTATATTATTTTGTCAAAACGTTTTTAGAAAATTTTTCGAAATTTTTACAGAAGTTAAGAAAATGAGAAACAACGTATTTACAGTTTTTATTATTTCAATTTGTTTTAAAAAATAACGATGGTATTTTGTTATTAGGCTATTCCATAAATGACAATTTTGACTTCTCGTCACAAAAAGTAAGACATAAGAGGTCGTTCATAAAGTACGCTTTTCAACCCTCTTCCACCCCCGTATTTTGTTGTAAGTTTATTTGAGTACCCTCTACCTCCCTAAAAGTACCTATGCTTTTAACCTACCTACCTAACATTTTATGATATTCTTTTTAATGTAGTGCCTCCTTACTTTTATAATTGACCCTCTATCCCCCATCTCATATATGTAATAAGATATATCATATATATATATATATATATATATATATATATATATATATATATATATATATATATATATATATATATATATATATATATATCGTTTGTGTCAAAGTCCGAGACAAATCATTGATTTCTTTATTGCAAAAAACAAAAATCAGTGTCTTATTAGCTAGCTAATTAACTACAGTAAAGTAACTATAGAGGAGTTAGTTGCTTCACTGTAGTTACTTAACGAATTATATAGGCAAAAAATAAGAATTTTCTTTAACTTGTTTAACTTGATTTTATAAATACACCATTTGAGATTAGTAAGTAAATTATTTAAACTCTGATTAACCAATAATCCTATATTACATTTATTGGGTTCCTTTGTTTCCACCTTTTTTATTTATTTATCTAATATTTATTGAGTTCGATTCTTGACTTCCTATTTCAAAATGTGCGTTAAAAGTATAGGAAAAGTACAAGATGTATATTAAAAAAGCTTGAAAAATTTTTATAAAATCTTAAAATACTTTTTGCATTACATTAAGATAAAGCTTTTAAATAATATACCATATATCTTACAAATAACTAACAATACGATAGAAATAAGCTAATCATATGAAAGACTTAATAAATTATAAATAACTTCCTGCTAAGGAAAGAGTAGCTATACATTACGAAGGAGATAAGACAATAATATTAAACCAAAGGGACATTAAATAGTTATAATACATGTTTAAGTAATAAAAAAACAAAAAAATATGTTAAACTTTTTACAAAAATCAAACAAAGTGAAACAAAAAGTTTATTTAATGTTTAACAATTTTCAGTTTAGGATCCGTTATGAGCATTTGTTTTAAATTACAAAGTGCACACGTTAATAAAATTTCATCTGCATGTTGTATGGTGCTGATTGACAGACTTCCATTTAGAATTCTGTACATTTAATGACGGGTAACAGCTCGCTCTATATGTATTCTTAAGTTTGCAACATGTTTAGTTTTTGAACTTCTTTGGTGGTCAATTAACTTTTTAAGCGGGCACCAGGTGGCACGACTAAAGTACAAAAATTTAAAATTAGTTTTTCCTGTTTTTAAAAAACTCAGTCAGCCATATCTTTGTCATCCTGCACTAGTAGATCATATAAATTACTGTTCCTCTTTATAAACTTGTCACTTGCTCTTCTTCCATAACATGAAGAAAGAAATGTAATATACCCAGTTGGACTTACACCTATCAAGAACTTGAATATATTATGAGGTTTATAGTTTAACCAGGTAGTTGGTTGTTTGTTAAGGAACTTTGAACGATCTATAAACACTTCTGCACAATCAAGTGTTACTCTGCATTTTTAATTATCAGTTTTCACAAAAACATTTGGCGGATAGTTGCAAATAGATTCTCGTTGAAGCCACACAACTTATGCTTTCCTAAAACTTGACTTAATATTTTAATCCATGTTGTGAATTTATGTGAACAAAATGCTGGGGATATTCCGAAACCATTTGGTTTTGGAATATCCCCAGCATTGTGGGATATTCCAAAACCAAATGGTTTTGCATTAAAACAAGTAAAAACTTATCTCTTTGTGATAAGTTTTTACTAGCTTTTAGTAAAGTAACTACAGAGGAGCTAGTTGCTCCACTGTAGTTGATTTTTTCATTAAAGCATGTTTTTTTCTTATTTTTAGAATTAGTACACCTTGGACAAGACTAATAAACTGAATTTGGTTAATATGGTTTGATTAGTAAAAATAACCTCTCAAACAATTTGGTTGTCAATAAACCAGAGTAAAAGTTCATTTTAGCATCAGTTTTAATTTTCCTCCACGTAAATACTGAATTTTTAACACTATCAAAGACGCTTTAATTTTTTGACAAGTTAGTGTTAACATGTTTACTTAACTGATTAGTGATTCAAAAAGAATTGCTATTGTCTACAAATATTTTGCAAACTTTACTTAGTTGTATTAAACAATACGAATGATTAAATACTGATGCATTTGCTATGGGTAAAATTTTTTTTTTATTTAAATCTGTTGAAATATCATAAGGATCATTGGTTGTTCAGTGATAACTGCAGTTTGGTCAAGTTTCTGTTCTTTAAATGGTATAGAGTGTTTGATTAAGTTTCTTCTATTTCATATCCAAGACATAAAGTGTAGGTGTAGGTTTTGCAGTTGAAGGAATTCCATCAACAATATGTATGGAGCATACCCTATCAGTCTCTCTTGGCTGCCATAATGCCTTATTTATACATTCTCTACTTAAAGCTGTAACCCATAACTGTCTTTCTTTTTTTTTTTTCCTTGCTGCTGAAAATTTATATAATAAAAATGGCCTTCACATAAAGAACATTTCTCTCTGCTTAAATTTTGCTCATGTTCATTGCATACTTCTTTTTTCCATTTATTCAATCTATATGTACTATTTGTACAACCTATTATTGCGCAATAAACTTTAGGCATCTTCATA